GATAACTTAAATGGTCAGATTCCTTGAAAGACACACTCTACCAGAATTCACTGTCTCAGTTCCCTAGGGCTGTCATAACAACACACCACAAAGTGGTATAGAAAAGTTCATGGAACAGAACTTTATTTTCCTACAGTTCTGGAGATGAAAAGTCTGTTTTCAAGACATCAGCAGGACCATGTTTTCTTCTTTCCACTCTAAGAGAAAATGCTTTCAGCTTTTGGTAGTCCTGAACATTTCATGACATTCTTTGGCTCTTAGATTTATTTTCACATGGTGTCTACCCTGTGTTTCACTTAGTCTCTGTGTCTGTTCTTCCCTTTTATAAGATACCACTTGGTAGAGATAGCACTAGGACCCACCAGTATGATTTAACTGATAACATCTTCAAAGAAATACCCTATTTCTTCAAACAAGGTCACATTCACGTTATAGAGATTAGGACTTCAGCATATCTTTTGGGAGCACACAATTCAGTCCATAACACATTAGGAGATATAGAAAATTTGAGTAGATGTGTCTGAAAAATCTGTCATTGAAAACCCTATGGACCACAATTCTACTCTAAGAACACATGGGTTTGCCATGCATTAGAGTCAACTCAGTAGCAGTTGATGTTGGTGGATATTTATATAAAAAAATTGAAGCAACAATTAATAACCTTCCAAAGCAGAAAGAACCAGGTCCAGACAGTTTTACTTGTGAATTTTACTAAACACTTAAGGAAGAAATTATACCATTTATTTATAATCTGTCCCAGAAAATAGAAGCAGAGGGAACACCCTCATTCCACAAGGCCAGCATTACCTAATAGGAAAACCAGATAGACTTTACTAGGATGGAAAATTACAAACCAATTATCTCTTAGAAGCATAGATGCAATAATCTTCAGCAAAGAATTACCAAATGAAATCCAGCAATCTACAAAAAGAATCATATACCACAATCAAATAGGATTTATTCTAGGTATTGAAAGCTAGTTCAAGTTTTGTAAATCAAGGTAATTTTTCACAAAACAGGCTAAAGAAGAAAAACAGAGCAATAGACATAGAACAATTCCTCACAGACAACCAGACACTGTGGGAGAGAGATCCAACAGATCTACCAACTCAGGACCATAGTATTGGGGGACAACAGACTTAATTGGCACAATAAAATACATAAAAATCTTATTCCACAACTTATGTTGGTTGGTGAGTAGTGACTGAGGTCTTAAAAGCTTTCAAGCGGCCATCTAAGATGCAGCTAATGGTCTGCTATCGTTGGAAGTGAAGAAGAGGACAAAAAAAAAAGGGGGGGGGCATTTGGAAGCAATCAGCCCTAGGACAGGATGGACCTCAAGACCAGAAGAACTAGATGGTGCCCAGCTACCAATGCCAATCACTCAGGAAAGGATCAAAACTGGAGATCCTGGATAGAGTGGGAGGAAAAACATGGAACAAAATCGAAAACACAATAAGGACCAGAATTACTGGTCAGATGGACTCTGGTGGGACTCCCAATACTATGGCCCTGGGATACACTTTGGGCCTGGAATAAAACTTACTCCCAGGGGCCGGATCTTAGCCCAATAGTAAATAAGATGCACACACAGACCTCTCAACCCAGGGTGACACACCCACATACTCTATGGAGATGCATCCCTTGGAACTATCAACCACACAGCACCAGAGGGGCAACATTAGCACAGAGGAAATGCAGGACACACAGGAATGCATGACTATGAGGGGCACAGGGTGGTGGGGTGTTACTGGGCAGGGAAGGGAGGAGAGTGGGTTAGGGTTGGGGATGATAATTGGGAAGTGAAACCAAATGTACACAAAATCTTGAATGTGAAACAAACTCTGCTCTGTAAACTTGCACCTAAAGCAGAATTAAATAAATAAATAAATAAAAAGAAAAATCCTATGGTCATGTCAATAGATGCAGAAAAAGCATTTGACAAAATCCAGCACCCATTCATGATACAAAGTTCTCAGCAATTCTCAAGAGGCTTCAATGTAAATACTCAAACAGATGTGTGTACACCAATGTGATAGTTGAAGATGTGTCAACTTGTCTGGACTCCAGTTGTGAGGGGTGGTTCCCATGATGGGATCAGATGACTGAGTTCTGAGCGGCCGGTCTGCCCAAGGGGAGTTTCCCCAGGGGTGTGGCCTACCTGCAATGCTATTCCAAGGACAAGCTGGAAGAACGGCATTCCGGACTATATACTTCGTAGAGTGAGTGGCTCGCCGCTCACCCTGGAGGTTTCGGATTCATCCTTTGTTGGGAACAGCAACCAGCGGGCTGCGTGCCAGCTTGATTCTCTCGGCTCTGTTGTGCTTATGGGAACCAGGCGGCTCCGGGCCTCATCTCCTCCAGAGATGAACTTTGTGGCTTGAACTCGGGCCTCATCTCCTCCAGAGACGAACTTTGTGGCTTGAACTCGGGCCTCATCTCCTCCAGAGACGAACTTTGTGGCTTGAACTCCTCTGCCGTGCGTGCGAAAGCCAGGCGGCTCCGGGCCCCATGCCCCTCCAGAGACAAACTTTTCAGCTTGAACTTGTCGGCTTCTACACGCTTGTGAGCCATTTACCTAAGATAAATCTCTCTCTCTTTCTCTCTTTCTCTCTCTATAAATATATATATACACTTTGCTGGTTTTTGTGTTTCTCTAGAGAACCCAATCCAACACAACCAATGTTCATTGCAGCATTAGTCACAATAGTCTAGACATGGAAATATCCCATATATCCACCAACGGGTGAATTGATAAACAAAATGTGGTTTATAAATACAGTGGAATTCACCCATAAAGAGAAATGAAATTCAGATACATGCAACCACATCAATGAATCTTGAAAACATGATGAGGGGAATAAGACAGTCACAAAAGGACTACTATTATATGATCCCACTTATATGACATATCTAAATTAGGCAAATGCCTAGAAACAACACCAGTGAGTTTTGGTATAGTGCCAGATGAGACTACCCTTGAAGGGGCAGAAGGCATTTTACATCCTAACCAATCAGGGACATAGGAAGAGCCTGCCCCAGGTCATATGCTTGAAGCTCACGGTGTTCTTCCCCCACAGCATTCTGCTTCCCAATATCGTAGAAGGAACATTGAACAGCAGACAAAAAATAAATTGTGTAACTCTATGGCACTTTGTACTTTTCCAAAGCACTTTCAATTCTGCTTCCTATATCCACTGAAGTATTATTATTCCCATCTTACTGAAGGGGAAGGGCTTTAAGACCCACCCAAGGTCACATAACTAGTGAATGCATAAAACAAGACTAGAATGAGTAGATTCCACAATTTTAGCTCCTGTATTGGGCTGTTGCTGCATTCTAAGATCTGAGCTTTCTGACAACTTGGAGGAAACTTTATGACGCATAGAAAGGGTACCAGAATGATTTAACTATAAAGAACTATAGTACAAGTCTCTGCTTTGTTCATAGATATTTAAAAAGTTCATTTTGATACTTTTGTTATTTACAACAGGCCTGGGAGTCATAGTAAACAGCCATGTTAAATACAGAATGCAATTAGATAGACACATATATGGCTCTGACTCTACATGTGGTAGGAGGGGGTATCAGAAAGGGCAGAGATCACTGTGAGCTGAGTCATCTGAAATGGTTTTATGGAGGAGATGGAACTTTAGTTTGTCCTTTACACTTATGTAGGATTTAGATAGATAGAAAGAAACAAGGACACATTTGGGTGTGTATATTGGAAAATGAGGAGCTCTGGTGGTGTAGTCCTAAGGCATTTGACTATTAACCAGAAGGCTGGTGGTTCCTCAGAAGGAAGGTTGGGCAATCTACTTCCATAAAGATACCTCAGAAACCCAAGGAGGGGTCGTTAGGAGTTGGAACCGACTCCACAGCAGTGAGTTTGGTTTGTTTGGATTGGAAAATGGATGCAGCATAATCAAAGATGAGTACAGACTTAGTTTTATGGGGCATGGAGACAGTGAGGGAATTGGAAAACCTGGAAAAGAGCATTTAGTCTATGAGGTGTAGAAGAAGATAAAATCAAACTGGTATAATAAAGGCCTTCTCTTCCAGAACAAAGGAAGGACTGGGAAAGATCTGATAGGAAGAAAGCCTAGCTATGGGGACAGTGTGCTAAGAATGGATCAGAACAGGAGGAGAGTTTGTGGATATGATTTTGTCTAGGCTTCCGGTGACTATGGCCTTAAACAAAGTGGTGACAATGGAAGTAATCTAATTGATATCACAAAGGGAAAAAGTGGATATGATTTCATGATAAATTTTATGTCTTAGATTAAAGTCTTCAAAATCTTGGGTCTGGGGGACCACAGACAAGTAGAGAATGTGGGAGGAGGTATCAAAAGCTGTTGTATTACCACTCAGGTGGCTTCTTGTTTTTCTCAGAGTAAATGATAGAACACAACTCTACAAGGAAAGACCGGATATCTGGAGATCACTCCCTGCTTGAAGGATTTAGATGTATGACTTAATTTGTTCTTAATATATTTCTGGACTGAGTTTATTTTCATAATGTTAGCCTGCATTCCAAATCCTGGACCTTGGAGAGCAGAAGATGATGTTCCGAAAGAGTGTCATTTAGAAAAAAAATTCCAAAGCAAGTTTTATGTCTTATAAAAGTTATTGAGGTGTTATTCCTTATTCCTTTTCAGCATAAGTGTGTAGATGCAGTTGAGAAGTTCAGAGTGAAGATCACTAGGAATCTGGAATCTTTTCTTTTTTCAGCAAGCTAAATGACTGAGCAACAAATTAGTATAGAGTACTTTCTGTTGGTGTTCTTTCTATCAAATAGATACTGTGGTCCTACATTATGGGACTGAGTGCCATAATCAAACCAGTTCTTCCTGCTTTCATCACAGGAGTAATGGATGTGTTTCAGAGGGATCTGATATTCCTACTTCTTGGCAGTCATCAACAAGTAGCTAAGCTCTAGTATAGAAATGTGTGAAAATGGGCTAATTGCAACTCCATAGACTCTCTTTTTCCTTTTCCAGAATCTTCCCCAGGAGTGACAGAGGTAACCATCATAGAAAAGGCACCTGCTGAACGTCATATGATTTCTTCATGGGAACAAGTAAGTGTTGCTCTGTGGGGGTTTTCAACTGCCAAGGAGAGGTCAACTTAGATACCCCAAAAAAGGAAAGACTGGGGCAGGAAACCTATTCTTATCTCAGGCCACAGCTTTCCTCTAAATGGAGTTCACCCTTCTCTCTGTTACTGTTAGTCCATTTAACATTCCATTCCACTCGATGACATTTCTCCACTTACGGCCCACTATTATATGAAGGCAGTGGAACATTCAAAGTTGTATATAACAAAGCTAAAAATATAGCATGTAATGTAAGAGAGATATATTAATAAGCATCATGCCAGGCAGAATATGTGTTAAAGAAGTACTTATACCATCAACAGCTTCTTGACCCTCCCCTGAACTTTCATTCATTTCTTCAATGAAAGTTTTGAGCTTCTAAAATGGACCAAGCATTGTGCTTGGTGTTGAGCCCTTGGCATTCAGTGGTAATCCAAAAAAGGCATATTTCTTACCTGCTGACATTACTAAAATCTAGTGCAGATCATTACAACAAGTATAATTATAAATTGGATTGAGGACTGTGAAAGAGGTAAAGGGAAAATATCAGGAGGCCTGACCTAGTCTGGAGGCTGAGAAAATGTTTTCTCTGAGAAGTTAATTAGGCAGAAGAGGTCTGGGAAGAAGGGTCTTTCAGCTGGTGTGAAGACTTTGAGCTGGGAAGAATTATATTGTTCTGAGCGTGGAAATCATGAGCAGAAGCAAGGAGAGCAAGGGAGAGACGTTGACAAGGACCTTGCAAGGCTTCATAGATCATCAGCGTTTTGCTCTTTAAGCTTAGGGAAAAAGGCGAACCATTGAAATGTTTTAAGTAGAGAACCAGCAAGGTTAGATTTCTGTGACTGAGTGGCAGATAGATTTGAGTGGGGGGCAAGAAACTATCTTGCCATTTAATGAGTGCCTGAAAACATGTATCAAATTATTTATTTCATTTAATCCTCATAATGACAAGGTACGCATTGCTATTTCCATTGTATAGATAAAGAAACTGAGGCTCAGAGAGGTTAGATAATTTGCCCTGAGTCACGTAGCTGCCCAGTAGCAGGGTCTGAATTTGAACTCAGAGGTGCCTGTCTCTAAGTACATGCCCATGTTGCTCTGCCATGCTGTCCTCTAACGGAGGACAGCACTGATGTAGCTTCCACTCAGCAGCCTATGCATGTGTATGCATGTCAGTCCCTGCCATCAGGACTCACCCTCCCTAGGTTGAGCCAGCAACTTTTCTGGCAGCTTAGTAAGTAGTTGAGATTTCTCTCCAGGACTTTAATTCAGTAGCACTTTTCTCATGGGCTCATTTTGGCCCCTACCCCATTTCCACTTACAGCCTATAACAACAAAAGGGATTTCTAGAACAGTATTATTTGTTGAACGCTGGTTGGCTGATGTAATCAGAGCCTGCTCCTGGTGCTCCTGTGGCTATGCCAGTCTGGCCTTGTTGACATTGTTAGGAGTAACATTGAGAGAAAAGTTATAGTTGAGGAAATCTTATCTTTTACAGGCTTACTTCAGCCATTTCGGGAGAACTGCCCCAGGACTCTTTTATGAGAGTGTGCTCCTGGTATTTTCCTGTCTGCTAAAAAGATGGAGCACTCTTAGGTTGAAACCCAAGTCATATACCTGGATGGGGGTGTGTGTGACAGGACAGGAATGTCTTATCTGGGGTAGGACACGATAAAGGTATATTGTATTATGGCGCTTATTTAATGAAGTAATTTCTGAGGCGTATTCTTCCTTTGTGTCTTATACGAGATATTTTCCAGAACTCTTTAAGAAGACTTTAACCATTTGCCTCCATTTTATTATACTGTCATTTATTCATTATAAGCATGTCTTCTGTAGGTGCTTGTCAGAGCTAGGGACTACATCTGATCTTACTGAGATCTAATTGGCCTAGCAATCTGGACAGTGTAACATTAGGCTTTGCTTCAGATTAGATTGACACTTGGAGAAAACAATTGTAGAGCTGGATAAATAACCATCGGAGGTCTGAAAGGATTAAAGGGTAAGCATGAGCAAAGAAAAACATTAAAGTCTCTGAGATAATTAATGGAACACCTCTTATTCAGACATACTCAGTTGGAGGACTGTGACGCAGTGAATTACTTAATATGCACCTTCTAGGCATGGTCTTTGTGACTTCTACTGGATGACTAGGTGGGACTAGGCAAATGTGAAATGCTTGTGGCCCACCCAAGGGAGTGGATAGCTTGTTAATAATGTAAATAAGGTACATGGCACCTTGTATGGGTGGGACCATTCAAATAAGGTATATGAAACCCTAACAATCCTGCTACACTTAAAATGAGCCATCCCAGAAGTATAAAGGAGGAATCTCACTACCATGAAGAAAGAAGAGCAAGGAGTGGAGCACATCCTTTGTATCTGAGGTGCTTGCACATTACTTCTCAGTCCAGGAGAGAGCAAGCCGTAAGACTTAGCTCAGGTGGTGAGAGACAGTGGCAGAGAAACTGTGGCAGCACAGGCAGTGGGACCAAGAGACAGCAGTAGGCTTACTGGACCACAGAGTGAGAAGCTAAGTGCCTTAAGACAGGAGGCTTGCTGGCAGAGTGGCGTGGCTCTCTGGGCACCTAATGGCAGTGGGACCAAGAGACAGCAGTAGTCTTACTGGACCACAGAGTGAGAATGCTCAGTGCGTTGAGACAGGAGCCTTGCTGGCAGAGTGGCGTGGCTCTCTGGGCACCTAATGGCAGAGCTAGAAGAGCTTTGTAACACTTGTCCAAGCAAGACAGAAGCCAGGATGAGGGGCCTTCAGGCATAGTTGGCAGGAGGGACAGGAGGTTGTCCTGATCAAAGAACTGTCTCTTAAGTGTTCCTGATCCTAAATTGTAACCTGTTATTTCCCTAATAAAGCCCAAAATCGTGAGTATTGTGTGCAAGTTCTGTGTGACAATTGTAGTGAATTATTGAAACCAAAAGAGAAGTAGAGAGTGCCATGGGAGAGATGGTTAGTATCAGAATTGGCAAGAAGGTTGGATGGTGATGGCATGTCTGACCTCCATTTTATAGGAATCAGCCTTGGGCTTTTGACCTTGTTCCTTCTTCCCCCTTGAAAAGTTAGAAGAGGTCAGATACTGCCCTCATCCCCTTTTACAGGGAGTTTCTGTGAAAACATCTAGAATTAAAAGATACATTGGTTTGTAATTTTCCATTGAGTCCTTTATTTGAAATATGAGACCCAAGTACAGTAAAATATGACAACTCTACAGTACAAATATATTAGAATCAGTAATGTAAAAATGTTTTTTTTTTCACTTGAGCACTGGGCATATCTGGGATTTTTGAAGGCCTATGCAGTGCTTGAGTTCTGTTGCACAAACACAGACGATCGAGGGAGTTTTCGATGTTCACAAATAATCCCCAGGTTATGAACGAGATCCATTCCCGAGTATGTCTTTAAGTTGAATTTGTAGGTAAGCCTGAGTAGGTGCATATAGCTCTTATTTAGCCTTACTTTAAGTGCAAGAAAAAGCTCAAAGCCTTTTTCATTGATTTTGAAGCTCAGTGTGCAGTAAGTGGAGGTGATTTTGATAAAGACATTGTTGTGAGTGGGAATTGGTTCAGTTGTTTCAAAATGAGGGCAAATTTACACAATGTTGAAGGGCAAGTGCAGTCTTTAAGTTGGATGTTGCCTGTACTTTTGCTTTGAGACTTTTTTTATATATATCACTGGTTTTTTTTCTAGTTACAGTAAATAGAAAATGGTCATCATAGAAAATTTTGAAAATACAAAAAAAACTCACTCACTGCTATTGAGTCAAATCCTACTCATAGCAAGCCCTCCTTGAGTTTCTGAGGTGGTATCTCTATGTTGTTGTTGTTGTTGTTGTTGTTATGTGCCATCGAGTCAGACCCAACTCACAGCGACCCCTCCTTGAGTTTCCGAGGCAGTATCACTACAGAAGTAGATTGCCCAACCTTCCTTCCAAGGAATGGCTGGTGGGTTTGAACCACCAGCCTTCTGGTTAGCAGTCAGGTGCCTTAGGCACTAGTAGATTACCCAGTCTTCCTTCCGAGGAGTGGCTGATGGATTTGAACTGCCAGCCTTTTGGTTAGCAGCCAAATGCCTTACCCACTACACCACCTGAACCTACTTAAGGGAAAATTGAGACTTATAGATGAAAAGGATGGATTTTCCTGCCCGTCCCTCACTGGAAGGAAGCCTCACTTGAGCAAAGCATTTGAATGCAGCGGTCACATGGTCCTAGTGTCTCGATGTTAAGTTGTAAGAAACAAGTTCCTTGTGGATAAAATGGAACAGGATGACAGAAGTCTTTTTCTAACTTCAACAACCATTGATTCACTCTAGGCCTTGATTTCTCCACCCATAAAATAGGACTAATAAAACCTGCCTTCACAGGGTTATGGTGGAAAGGATCAAAAACAGCAGGTTTTGGCTGTTTCATAAGGGCCATTTCACTTGCATAGTATTTTCTAGGACATCTACAGCTCTAATCCATTCTTTCTGACTCTCCCAGTCTTTACCAAAATGACCTCTTTTAATAAGATCAACCAGAAATAATAGAGTTTGGTCAAGAAGACAGGGAACCAACACCCCAAGCAAACCACAGCTGCTTAAATAGAGCCAGATACTACCAGTTGCCATAAAGTTAATCCCAACTCATTACAATCCCATGTGTGTCAGAGTGGAACTGCTGTGCATGTTTTCAGTGGCTTGTTTTTGGGAAGTAGACCTGCAAGCTTTTCTTCTCAGCAGAGGTAGATTACCCAATAAACAAGGTAGGCATGGACTTCCATGTGCCTACTTACTAATCTGTAGTGAAAAAATTCACATGGTTTCATGTGGTGAAACCTTGCTTACTGACTGAGTACTCTGCCCCTGTCAGGGATTATAAATTTGAAAAGAGGCTTTGATTCTGTAGGCAGGTGCTGTGGGGTTGAGAGAGAGACAGATGCCAGCCATACCTAGAAGCAGAATCTTTGATGTGGTGAAAAAAAATGTGAAA